GAAGCTCTTTCCCAGCCAGGTTCAAGCATACCATATGTCATATCTTGTGGAGAGCCTGGAAGGAGACCTTGACAAAAGCTCCGGGCAAGAAGTGGCACAAAAGGTGACGTTCCTCTACAAGCTCTAGCTTGGTGCTATGGGGGGTTTCATATATATAATAAGGATAGTGGGTAGATTGGGCATGACTGGTTAACTTGAGGTATAATCTAACTCTTGCTTGCGTGTTTGTCCTTGTTCTGCATTTGGCTTGAGTTTAAGCTTAAGTTTCATATGATGTTAGTTGGTGGAGTATCTATATCCTTGAATTATGCCATTAGTATGTTGAAATAATATTAAACTCCATTTGGCTCTATTTTATATGTTAGTCTTAACATTGGGATATTAAATACTCTAGGACTGTTTCAAGTCACTCTGTGCTATAATACCTTCACTCCTTAGGTCCATACCTAAAAGTTTGCCACTATTCTTTTGTTTAATAGCCCAAAGCCTTGAAACTTAAGGTCCTTTGGATGACATGTGGCACATAGAGGGTTTATGTTCCACTTCATTTTTATCTTATAGTAAATCACTATAAGATAAAAGGTAAAAACCATATGCATTACAAATTGCCCCTAAAAATATACTTGCTTGTTTTTTAAGTAATACCATTTGGTAACTTAAAATGCAACAAAAAAAAATGACTCAAGAAACGGTCTATATTGTTGGTTAGTTAAGGGAATTGCACTATATGTTAATTGATATTTGGCAGGTTTAATTTGCTCCGGCTAGGTTCAACCCAAGGGGTAGGGTGTCAAAAGAGTAAGGCTCTCTAGAGAGCTATTGCTCTCAACTTCCATTCACAAGGGCATGAATTTGCAAAGAAGTGTATTGGATTCTTAATAACTAAAGAGAGAGATAATTCATAGGGTTCAAATATAAAAGGAAAGGGCCTATAAATAAGAGTGTACCCTTTTTTCCAATCGATTAAAAGTTTTGGGATATTTTGTATTAAGTGTTCTTGGGTTTGAATAGTACTAAGCTAGATGACCTTCTAGGAAGTCTAAATTCAGGAGCTTACAGCTTCTAAATTTCTCCCCTTAAAAACATTGAGGATATTTAATTTTTCAAAAGGAATTAAAATACTATATAATTAATATTCTATTTAAGCTTATTATTTCTTAAGTGGTGAAGAACTTTTTAAGTGGATAAAATATCAATGGTTTCTTCTCTATCACTTGTATTTTCACTTTTATCCATTCTCTATTTAATTTTTTTTCTGTCCTATTTAAAAGTAAATTTATTATATTTCTAAAATTTACTAGTTATATTATGGTATTTTTACCTACTCCCAATGAATTATATTGATTAGATATGTATATTAAGTTATAAGATTTTCACTAAGAAAAAATATAAAGACTGATAACTTCATTGAGTTATTTATTACTCTCTTGATCTAATATTAAGAAAAATGCCATAAAAGGGTTTATTTCCTAGCCTCACTTATAGTTTAAGTAGCACTCTTAGTGCATATAGAAATATGCATCTTAATTAGCCCAAAAACCATAGTTTATATACAGAAGTGAGTGGTTTGAAAATTATACTAATATTTATATACAATATCATAGGTATACACTTAGACCTCATATTATCTTATTCTTTTAGAAGGATGAAAGGTAGTTAAGGTTTTCAGGTTGAGAGACTAGGATCTAAAGGAACATCAGGAGGAGGCACTGGTGGATTTATAGGTAATGCTTGATCCCTTTATACAAAACATTTAAGTTATTGCATATATATAATTTCTGGAGGATTAGTTTATTGAATGTTTTGCCAAGCTTTATAAACATGCAGTTTAACTTACCAAAACACTTAATATAATCTCTTCCACTGAATAAAGAGCCCCTTACACAAACCATATATTGTAACATTAGGAAAATGGATTAACACCAAATCATCCACTTTATACTCCATTGGTGGATGATGATGGAAGTTGTTGTGTTGTTATTATCCCATTTATACATAGCCTAAATGCTCAATAAACTCCACTTGAATGAATGGAAAAATGCTCATCAAATGTTGATCCCAAGACTTAGTATTGGCAGTTTATAGCAATCACGAAGGTAAACTCAACTCCATTAGTAATATCAAATAATGACCACATAAAAGTTTATAAAGTGAAGCACCAATGGAACTTTATACCCCGTGATATACATATACCAAAGAAACAGCAAATATCCATCCCAATCTAAAAGCTAAAATTTTATATGTTTTGCAATCATTCCTTTAAATGTTAAAACAAGCCATTCCTAGAAACTTGGGTAAAAGTCTGTATGCTAAAAGCTTGTACTAGAAAAAAAAGAAAGAGGAAAAGAAAATAAGAGTGAAAGATAAAAGAAGGTAAGAGTAAAGTGGATGCTTACTACTACACTTGTTTGACTTGATTTTGCATTTTGCTTCAGTTAAACACAAATAAACATATAAAAAGTAAAAAAGGAATGACTTGAGTCCTTCAATCCCTATGAAAGCTTTTGTTGAAGTCATGAGCAAAGATAAACTTAACATCACTTGAGTACTGTAGATTTTGCACAAATAGATGTGCATTGATGATGGAAAGTTGGAGTACAAAAGAAAGGGATAGAGTTTGAGTGTTAACTCACCTCCTTAATAAGTTCTGGCAACTGCCACTCATTTCTGTTCTTGAGTCTTAAGATTTAAATTTCAAGACTTAGGATGATGTTTCTAAATATAATGTTGATTTTCTATGCTCCACTTTCTCCCATAACTGAGTTGAGTTTCATTTTGAAGCTCTCATTTCTCCATAGCATTGGGCTGTTTTATTGCTACTATGACTCCAGAGAGCTCATTCTTGAACTTGTTCTTCTGTTGTAGCGCACCCTATCCCTATAGCTGCTTCACCTTGAGTTGTCAGATCTCATTGTGAAGCTCTGCATTCTCCTCGGGGAGTTCTTTATTCATGTGCTAAGTCTTTGTGCATACAAATTCCTAGAAAGTTGTACCTTGAATGCTCCTCTTGAGCTGGAGAATATGGTTCTGGATCTTCGTGAACTTCACATCTAGGGGCTGGTAGACAAAGGTGTTGATTGGACTTTGTCTCACATGAAAATGCTCATCTGTTTGTCGTTGAAAAGCCTTGCAAAATCTGCTGGTATTGGCATCTATGGTGTTGACTGGAGACATTGCATTTTGTCCACAAACTGGAGAAATGCCAAGCTTAAGATCCAGTGTAAGCTCAGGCTTGCAGCATCACTCTTGCTCGGGATGCTCTCAACTGTGGTGTTTGCTGTGATGTGGCATGTTGTCGGTGTCGGCCTTGAGAGCTGGTTGTGTTGGTGTTGCTGTGTGCGGTAGGGATGCTGGAGACTGCTCCTGCTGGGTCATGTTCACGTTACACTGGTTTGACAACTGTCAGTTTGGAACCTGCAAGGTGGTTACATGTTCAGGTCTGGAATCTTCTCCTGAATTTCCTCACCTTGAGCTTTGTGATCTTTGTTGTTAGTTGTTCCCTTTACAGCTTTTGTGCTCTTGCGTGTAGATGTTGCTGTGCGTCCACATCTATCACACGCTTTCCACAATCCATCAACAGGAGAGCTTTCTTAGCCTTCATAAGGAACTCTGACTGACACTTTTGGTATTGGTTTTCCTCCCTGCCAAATGCCACAGACTTGACTCCTGCCATAGGCCCAACGATTGGGATAAACTTCTGCTTGTATGACACTCTCTACAACTACTGGAACGCTCAAAGTTGGATTATTTTTAGTTTCAGAGTGAGAAATTTTTGGAAAAGCTTTACAGGCACAGAGCACCATCGCATTGGTAAACACAGTTTTGACATGCTTAGGCCTCCTGGCATTGCATGGTTACTTTCAGGCCCGAGTAGGATGGTGACGAGCTTGATCTCCGGTGGAGTAGCAGGAATCGCTGCCTCAACAGGTAAGAGTCTTAAGAGCGATTACGCTTGATCGCCATAGTTCCTGTTTTCAGCGGTGTTTCCGATCGACTTAACTCCGAGGGCGAGCGGAGATGGACACCGGCTTACAAGCCTGGGATTGCGATTCTTTCCAACCGTCAGATATTCTTGAATCGACGGCCTTGATTGAATTTCCATGTTGCTAGCAAATTTTTAGGGTTCTTGCGATGGATGAGACTTGGCGATGGCAGCGATTCGATGCGCCGCACCGGCATTCGCTCCTTCGGCAGCGCCGCCGCGGGCGCCCGATCAGCAGGTGTCGGCGTTGAAGGTCACAAGGGATTTGCGCAAGGGCAATTTGCGCCTGGGCGATCCACGGCCAGGCGGCGGAGAACAAGCAGCTTGTTGTCAATGCGCTGGTGGACGAAAAACGTACGCGAAATGCGGCAGCATGGAGGACTGTTCCACAGCATTCTTCACCCAAACGTGATGTCCTTGATGCTGGGCTACGTCTCCAATGGCGAGAGTGATGTGGCTCTGGATCTCTTCGAGAGGATGCAAGCCAGGCGGTCGGGCTGCAAGCCAAACTCCAGGACGCGGCAAAGGCTTGTAGCAGCCTCGCGGCGAAGGAAGACGCTGTTTTGGTCGATGGGAAGCTCGTCAAGGAGGCTAGTCTCGAGACCGGCAGAGGCATCCATTCTCAAGCCAAGCAGATGGGACCGTCTTGCAGCGAAGACGTTTTCCTCTCGAGCTAAGTGCGGCATCATGCTCGATGCTCGATCGGTCTTCGATGAGATGTCACAGTGAGACGTGGTCTCCTGGAACGCGTTGATACTGGGCTACGTAGAGAATGGAGAAAGTGAGGTCGCTCTCGAGTTCTTTGGGAAAATGGACTGCTCGCCAAAGTCTTGGACTTTCGTTGCTGCTGCCAAGGCTTGTGCGAATCTAGCAGTGAAAGAGGAGGCCACCAAAAGATGGTGAAGACGAAGAGCCTGGAAAAGGGGCTCGCTGTTCACGATGGAGCTGTGAAAAGCCACTGCTGTGGAGATATCTTCGTGGGGAGCAGCCAAGTACCATGTACTCAAAGTGTGGGAGCATGGTCGACGCGCGGATGGTTTTCGAGAGCATGCCTCGTCGTGATGTGGTGCTCTGGACGAGCTTGATACAAGGCTTTGTGGACAACGGGGAAAGCAAGCTGGCTCTCGTGTTCTTCGAAGATATGAAGCTATCTGGGTGCTGTCCAAACTCTCAGACGTGTGTTGCTGCGCTTGCCGCCTGTGCGAGCTCGGCAATGCGAGAAGAAGCGGTGGATGTCGACGGCAAACTCGTGAAGAGAAAGAGCTTGGAAACCG